AAGACAAGGAACATGACCAGAATCTGATAATCTAGAAAAGTATGCTATAAATGATGCATAGCGTCCACTGAAACACAAACATCTTTTCTGCACCTGGGTGCCAATCAGATTCTTCCCTGCCCACATCGTGTAATAGCAGCCCTTCCTCTTCCTAATGATCAAGTCAGTTACACTATTGAAAAGGTTACTTTTCTCACCTGCTAGTGCTTGGACATAGGAAGCCCAAAGTGTCTTAGCTCATCACTCAGTGGCACTGCCAATCCTACAGAGCTCAGAGTTAGGGGTAAGAAAGCAGAAAGTGGATTAATAAATATGATGGTAAGTGTGACTCCTGCTCTGCTCCTTGGTACTCAGACCCTTGTGTCATTCTTGTGGGCACAGTACCATATATAGGTTTTTTATTCAATGCGTGTTCTGAATCCTGGAGGATGGTACCCATACTCACAGAATGTTGCCTCTGATGTGGCCCTTTTGCTATGTCCTCAATATTATACCATTTCAGTACTCTTTCAGCCTGGCAGCTTCTTGGTGATGAATTATATGCTATAATAAAGTGAATCCCATGGTCATGAGCTCTTTCACATAACTTCTATGCTGTTAAGTTGGTCCTCTAGTCTGAGGTGATATTTTATGGAATTCCAGGCAGTGGATTGAACACTCTGTAAGCCTTCATATGGTGGTGCTATTTGAGACTCTGTGGTCAGGAAAAGCAGGGCCAATTCGTGACATGAATATGTAAATATTCTTCTGAGAACAAAGAACAGACTTCTGAACTTGCCAGGATGGAAAGGGCCCAGTGTGGTCAACTTGTTGTCAAGTGACAGGTTTGTCTCTTGAGGAAGACCAACCAATATGGTGTCATATCAGGGACTTGGTGTTGGTCGCCACTGTAGGCAGGATATCTTTAGTGACAGAGTAGCCAAACTATCTTTGGTAAGTGAGAGTCTATGCCATTGACCAGTGGACAGCCCCAATCTCTGCTCCCACACTTTGTTCATATTTCCATTGTGCCAATACTGGAGTGGACAATGATAGAGGCTGGCTGAGGTCAGTGGGCTAAGTCATCTGTCTACTTGGTTGTCAGGTTCCTCACCAGTGGTGGATACTCTCTGGGATGTAATCATGTGATACAAAGATGTTCCTACTTTAAGTCCACTTCTAAATTTTTTTTGAAGTTTATTCATTTTTGAGAGAGAAAGAGAGAGAGAGAGACAGACAGAGTGTGAGTGGGGGAGGGGCAGAGAGAGAGGGAGACAGAATTCGAAGTAGGCTCCAGGCTCTGAGCTGTCAGGACAGAGCCTGATATGGGGCTCAAACTCACAAACTGTGAGATCATGACCTGAGCGGAAGTCAGACGCTTAACCAATTGATGACCCAGGTGCCCCTCAAGCCCATTTCTTTAAGTCCATTCACATACCCCTACCCCAGACTCCCTATCCCTAATTTTCCCGTTTTTCCTCATCAGCTAGCTAAGCCATTTGCCACTGTATATTCTAACCTTGGGGGCAGTTCTTTTTTCTATACCAAGTGGGTGATCAAGTGTACTATGCAAAGCTCTGAGCATTGGGACAATTTTCTCTTATTCCTGTCTTTCAGTGTGAACCTGTAGTGTAGTTGCTATCCAATTTCAGTTTTCACATATGGACTTGACCCAGACATGAAACAACTCAGGTATTTCCCTCCTTTCAGTCAGTCTTACAGGATCCTTCCTACTGCTATAGACGTGCCCTGAAAGAGAAACCCTTGGGCAATCATGGTAGATGGCAGGGGTCTGCATTACCTGCTCGCACAGCCTGTGTGTGCCCTCTCATCCTGCTCACACCCAGTCCTGGAGGTACCACTTCCACTTTATGACGGATCATCCCTGGGTCAGTCTCACTGGGTCTTATAGGGCCCTGCATTTGATGGACAATTTCAGGGACAAAATTCGTTGTTGACTCTCTCTACTAGGGCCCACTAGCACATTCGGAATTGTTTTCCAAAGACATAGAATTCTTCACTCCAGATGGCATGGTCTTACCGCAGAGCCCTGGGGCCTTGCATTGTGATTCTCTCACTGGAGCTTGTCACAAACTCCACATGGTGTCTTTCCTCACCTTTAATCCCAGGAGGTCTATCAGACCATATGGCCCAAGGAGTGGGATTGCCTGCATGGTAGCCTGGGCTGGCTGCAAAGGCCTTTTCTGCTCTGGGACTCACTTAAACTTGGCCATCTTCTATATCACAATGTGCATGAGTCAAAATGGTATCTCCAGGTATTGAATATGTGGACTCAAGAACTTGAAGAGGCTTACCAGGCATGCTTCCTTCTTCATGTTGAGGTACAAGATGCAATAATTTGACTTTTGTTTTGCACATGTCCCGGTCACCGGACCTGATTCTTGGACTCCTGAACATGTTACAGCTGAGGCAGGCTCCTGAATTACCTCAGGGTTTAGCTCCAACTCTCTGAAACACACGTCTTATAAAGGTCTCCAGCGAGGTAGCCACCCACTTCTTGCTCATCTGACCCAATCAATATAATATTACTGATGTAATTGATAAATGTGATGTTCCATGGATGTCCAGCTGGTACAAATATGTTTGAACTTAATATGGCCTTGGAGTAAAACTGTAATGTGTATTATTTCCATGGAAATGTGAATTGTTTCTGATCTTTTGTTTCAATTGAAAGAGAAAAGAATGCCTTCTTCAAATCAATAGTTGTATACTATATACTTGAGTTGATATTGATCTGGTCTAATGTAGGCACTGGCCTGCAATTGGGTTATTATACTTAAGATCGTAATGGTCCAGTGACCCTTCCTAATCCATCTGGTTTCTTCAGAGATCAAACTGGTCAAACTGATTAGGATTGAGAGGAGTTGATGAATAGAATATGGCAATAAATTTCTATTCTCCTCTCCCCACAATATGACTTTACATTTTTATATGCCTGGGGCAGAAGGTTAACTTGAGACACTTCCACTTGGCCTTTCCCAGTATGATAGCTCTTATTTTGCCAATCAAGGATGCAAAGTGAGGGTTGGGCCAACTGCCAAATAGGTCATTCCAGTTCTGTATTGGCAGACTGAGTAACTGACCACTGAGTGGGTCCATGGATGCTGTGGATCTCTGTAAACTGGACATTGGTCAGGACTACATTTATTATCTGGCCCCCATCAGACCCACTGTAACATGGAGGTCATGATGATTCTGGTGTTTGGCTATCAATGACAACTCAGGCCCTATGTCCAACTGTCATCAAATGTCTGGGTATTTCCTTTTCCCTAATGCATAGTTACTAATCATTGTTGTGTGTACTTGCCATGATATTGCAATATTTTTCCTCCTATGGACCCAGCCACCTCTTCTTTTGCAGCTGTGGGTCTGAAAACTGGCTCCGGTTCAGAAATCGGGCAAGGGATTGTGACCTTCTATGGGGCAACTGCCCTCAGCTTTATGGTCGTCCATTGTTGATTTCTTCTGCTAGTATAGGCTGAGTAGTACAAGTTGGGTGACTGCCCATCCATATTGTTTCTAGGGACACTGTTCTAGTGATCATTCTCTTAACTTTCTATGGTTCTGACCTTGTTGGTTGCCACTCTGACCACTGTCACCAGTGATGACAGTATAATTGTGACTTCCTGGCTTTGGATGGTTTTGTGCTGCCATCTAGCTCTAATGTTTCAGAGTCTTATTATCCACACTGCTATGAAACAGCATTGCTCTGCAGTGGTGTCTTCATAGAAGAGTCAGCTCTGAATTTCTAGTGACGCTAGTGCACCTCTGAACAGCGTACCCCTTAGGACTTTTGTCCATGGTCTGTCCTCATGGCCTTCCAGCCATAGTGTATCCAGCACACTGACTTTCTTGAGACTTTTAAGCCTCACCCTTCGGGGTCTGCCAAGGCAATTCTGGAATTTTAATTCCACTTAACAACATGGGCCATCACTTCTTCCATATTTCTAGGAGCCGTGCTAGTAGCAAGTTTGCACCAACTCCTGGAATCTTTGCTAGGGAGTTAAATTCTGTATCTTAGGGAGAACTTCCAAGTCAAAAAATTTTCTCTATTCAATCTTATGTTCTTCAAGCAGCCTCAGGATCTCCTCAAACTCCTATCAGTATCTGTAGACTGTCTTATGGCCCCTTTAGTGTATAGTCCCTATCTTCCCTTAGCTGGTCCAGCATGTCCCCAGCTGAGTTAGGAGAATAATCCTCAGGGGTGCATATGTTGTCTTGCACAAGAGAAGCCTCTTTACTGTCTCCCATCAGGCAGAGGGGACGGGTGTGCTAGTAGGATTATGGGTTAGTATGTCTATAGGCTCAGACTTTAACCAGGGGCTTGTGGAATCAAAATCTTTGCAGGGGTGGGGGATTCAAGTAGATGTTGCTTCTGATGTGCCCTATTTTCCCAATGAGGACACTGATCTTGCATAACAGACCTGCCTTGGTTGTTTAACTGTCTGAAATTCTGTTACTCTATTAAGTTCTGGCTTGTTCTTCATTTTCTCTTCCTTTCCCTTTGTCTCCCACTGTAGGAAATGAACTTTATAGGCAACTAAAGAGGCCCTCTGTTTCCACATCTGGCTTTCAATTGTCTGGTACTTGCCCTCAGCTGTTCATTATCCTTCTGTAGGCATCAATGACACTTATCTCATTGCCCTACAGCTACTGTCTCCTCTCTACATGGATATGTAGTGATAACAGGAGTCCAGCTCTCCAAAATACAACTAAACATATCATTTCACCTAATATTGGAGATTGTGTGTGTATTAAAAAAAGACCTGTTGCATCAATCCATTAGATGCCTAATACTACCTAAAGAAAAAGGGGCTATTTAAGATTATGTTTGAATTTAGTTCAGTAGGAGTTAAAAATTTTCTCACCCTTGAAGTCTGTTTGCCCTAAACCCTCCTACAAGTTAGTCCTAAGAAGAATCACGTTCAGGAATCCAAGAAACCCAGAGAGAAAAACACAATCACACAAGCCATTCACCAATGACAAAGGAGTCAGCAAACTGTTGGAAAACAGAGCTTGTAATAATGAAAAAAGGACAGAGTTTGTAACCAATCACTTATTTTCTTTTAAAAACACATAACCACATTAACTTTTTGCTTTATACAACCATCTAGAAACTATAAAACAGTACCACATTGTGCATTTAACCTACTTATCAAGAAGGGAACTCCACACGTCGTAAGAATTCTACCCATATAAGAAGGAAAAAGGAGACAGCTAATAGCATAGTCACAGATACAACATGAGTCCAAGCAAGCATCAATTCTTTGACGTCACCTTTTCCATTTACCAGAGTGGAGAGAGTAAGAAAGAAAGCCAGGGGGAAAAAAGATAGAAAGAAGCACCCACAGAGGACTAATCACATTCCAAAGTTACTTTTGACAACTATAGCTCAGGGTTTCATAGAATAGTATCATTTGACCAACACAATGTGGTAGGGGGTGAAGGAAACGTGAGTAGAAGGAGAGGGTTTGAAAAGACAGATACATTTTACACCCTACTTCCCTCCTAAATAGTCTTGATACAAGCTTCTGTGCTAATCCAGAATATAGCAAGAAATTAATCTTAACAATGTGATAAAGCTTGAATTCTGCTCTTTTTGGAAATGTGAGTGGCTCACAATTTCACTTTACAGTTCAAAAGAATAACAGTGTCATGATCAATTACCAGATTCTTTCAGGATTCCTCACAATCTTTCTCCCTATTCCCACCATGCTGGTGTTGCTACAGGACAATCAGGGAAGTCTGGGTAGGAACTTCAGGAAGTTTGGGTAGTGAGATGGAATCCTTACTCTTTCTTAGAAGTTCACACCTTTCTGGTAGTAAGCCTCCCCTCTGGTTTATGGTGGTACAGAGGAAAGGGCATAGAAGAATTACTAAGGTAATATGGTGGAAGTTTAGTCAAGTAACTGGTTTGAAGGTATACAAGATGAGACTGTAATTAGCAGACACACTAGATCCAAGGCAAACAATTGGTGTTTGATTGTCCTCCTTAGGTTGATGGCACCATAAAAAAACCCGAAGGTGGCTTTGATACACTAATAAAATAAACCAATGGTCTGCCACAAGGAAACATACTTCAAATGAAAATTAGTATAATGATTCTCTTCACTTCAGGGGAAACTCTCATCTTGCTCCTCTCACTTCCTCTTCCACCACAAGTATGCAAATATATTCTGGAAGATTTTTTTAAGGGGCAACTCAGTTATCAGAGTTTTGCCAATTCATATAAGAAAAGCCATTATGAACTATCCCAATCAGCAGGCTCATCTCCATTCCCAGGCAAATTTCTCATATCACTTAAATTAAGCTCTTCCCAATCTAATGAGATGATTTTACTTTCTCACATGTGGTGAGTAGATGTGATTTAATGCCAGTTAAATTATTGGTTTGTAGCACTATTACAAATTTCTTATGCTCTAATATAATCAGTTCTATCCCACATTACCACTGTGCTCTGACATTGTAGACTGAAGATATAATGCAGAAAGTTAGCTTTTAAGATTTACTATCAAGACTGATACCTGAAATGCAGAAATGTGTTTAAGTAATTTATAAAATCTCATTTTAACTCTCTTTAACTCTCCTAATCATCATAACCAAGAAATAAAATTTATATGCATCATAAAATGAGCTAAGCTGGTAAATTTGATTCTTCTTCACCATTTTCTGAAGCTCTACCATAACTTGTATTGTCTTAACCTAGTGACTATGGCTCTTATATGTATAATGCTGGCTTTTTTACTAGGTTTGAAAAAAGTGTGACGATTTTGTAGTTGAAAAGGCCGTAGATTCAACATGATTTTTTTAAAAAATCTGAGACGCAATCTTAAGTTAAAAAATTTAAATATGCTATATAGCAAGAAGTACTTATTTTCTGAGACAGGCAAATTTCATGCAAATGAAGGAGAACCATAATCTGAAATTTGTTTATCCAACAAAGCATAATCACTTCAGAGAATACTAACTTTTTAAATAAAATAATGCCATGGATATGGTTATTTTATAAATTATTTTCCTTAGACTAATAAATTTTCATAGTCCTTGCTTAGAAAATTGCATTTAGGCATAAATGGAAGTAATGAAAAATGATGGGAAATAAAGACAGGTCCCTACCAGCAACATAACCACTGAGGAGAAACAGCAAGGCATCACCAATGCCACTGAGCTCACACACTTATCCTAACTGCCCTCCTTCCTGCTGCCAAGATCCAACATCTTCCTGTTCCTCTCTGCTAACTCCACGATTATTTTATTTTTTTTTCCAATACATGTCTGTTAATCTGGTGCCTGTACAACTCAGTGATGTTACTTAACTTGTCTTTCACCTGTTAAGAAAGGATGAACTGCTTTCTCATTATTATGAATGTACTTTGGCCAAACGATGATGAAAGGATACCATGTATTAACAACTTACTTCCAGTAAAATCTGTTGAAATCTTAAAACTCTCATGTAGAAAATTTGAGTGAGTCATGGATCCTAGAGACAAGGTCTCATGTTCCTTCTTTAAGGGTCCAAAAATTCCCATTATAACCCAATTAACAATGACTTAATTTTTGGTCATTCTGTTGTCTCTCTGTATGGCATGAAACCATCAACTATTCATTCCATTTTAATGGCACAGGCAGGCTTAAGTACACGTGCACATTTGTGAGTAGGAAATAAGCCATTTTTTCTTGGTCTTCTAATTTCATTACACACATCAATGAACTTTATTCTTTTATTTATACTTCCTTTTCATTCCTTTGGGGTGTATTTAAACTGATAATAAACTGGTTCTCAGGTAAAATGAGACTAGAATTTCTAAACCTAAAATCAGATAAAGTTTTACCTTTGGTTAGATTGCTGCTCCTTTAAAATGACCCTGTGATGTTAATTTCCTAAGAGTTCTGAGAGTTTCAGAGTACAGACGTCTCCAACAAAATATTAGATAGGACACAGCATTGGTAACTGCTAGGGCATATAAAATTTAGAAGAAAAAAAATGTACATTGCCTTTTTTTCAAAGAGAAAAATTTAGACGTATATTGTCTCCCAAACTCTTCCTCTTGATGAGGAAAAGCCCTCTTTTCTCTTTACAGCTTTAGAAGTAACATAAAGCTGTGTGTTTCAATACTTATTTGAGCATCTGTCATGGGAGGCTGAAAATTACAGAAGTCTTGTCATTCTTGAATAGACTATGCTAACAGGACAAACACAGCAGAAAAGGAACAAATTCTAACATTACATTATCTATGAAAAAATAATACTGATTAGGGCCTAGGATCATAACAGTTGAAGAAAGACCAAGTTGGCCATAGGATACACTGAAATAAAAACACTGGGGAGCTCAAATACCAAAAGTCAACTGTAAGATTTTATGTGTGTCATTATAGAGTTTTACTAATAATAGGAAATGAAGTTGACAATTCAAATTGTTCTGGATACACATTAGTACCACCAGTTTTATTTGTACAAGAAATGACTGGTCCACTGGACTTCTCTAACTCAGTAATAATTACTGTTATTTCTAGACAGACCAGTGATATTTCCCCCATGGTTTTAAAGTACAAAAACAAAATAGAAAAAAAAAAATCCATAGTATAAATAATGCAACCTTTAACCTATTATGGATCACTAAATTGTTACCACTGATTATTATAAATGATTCAATTTATTTAAACAACAAACAAACAAAAAAGAGGTAATTAAACTATTCCTCTTCAGTTTTGGGTCAAAGAACATGCTTGGCAAAACTTAAAAAAAAAACAACAAAAGCCAGAACTTTGTATGATTTTTCATTAAAAAAATCTCTATTTGGAAAGGGGAAAAAATTTGGAAGCCTGTCAGAATAAAAATGGAATAAACTCCTTTATGAACAAACTATTTGTCAGTTAACAAATAGTTGATGGAATTTTGGCAGTAACAGTAACTTTAATAGAATCTACTGGAATCCCAACAGGTAGGAGTGAAGATTTACAGTACATGGCAGAAGAGCAGATGACAAAAGGGGTTTATTAAAGGGCAATAACCATATGCTTTTAAGGAAGTGATAATAGCTGCCCTTACACTCATTTGTCTCTTGTCTAAAATTAAACTGAAAATGACAGGAGTAATTTACTTTCATGAATCCACTGATGTTGATGCTGGAATCTTCATCTGGATCTAGGGGGATGGGAGGATTAAAACATACTTTACTTTTTCCTGGTATTTATATTAACTTTGTTAGATAATGAAATGCTCAATTTAATGCCAACCACATTCAAGAAAGTAAAATCCTTTAAGGTTTTGGGGCTTATTTGGATGATTTAGGAACACAGGAAAGAAAACAGACAAGTAAAAATGGGCATTGTGCACAAACCATGAGAGTCTGAAATGTCTAAGAAACATATTTTTTGTTTATGACCAAGTTTAGACCCCCAAAATCTTAAAAGCAGGCTTTCTCTCATAGGATGGCATGAAATCCAATGTTTATCCTTTAAAACTGCTGGGAGAAATGGCTGTCAAGGTCTGTTTTATTAATGTAATATGAAAGAGGAAGGATAATTTGTTCTTTGCTCTCAAATATACTGTTTCCCCAAGACAGACTTTTAATTTGATCAAATTCTGGCTAAAGTAGTGAGTCCAGAAGAAAGATTATCCAACAAGGGTGTAGGGGGTCTCTGAAATAGCTTTACCCTCTAATTCAGAGTTAGTAAGGGTTATACTTCAATTACCCTAAATGCCGAGCTTCATAAGGCAGAACTGCAGTTGTTATGGTTGGAGTATGGGCAAATACATTCCACATCTGTTTCTTAAACAACAAAGTTGTTTCTTAAACAACAACCTCTTAAAAAATTTCAACCAGTTGTGTGGAAGTAGATAGATGCTTTGTTATGAGAGACATGCTCAGGATTCTAAAGCAGCAGCAACTTAAAAAAATTAGTAATAAAGCTTTGGCTTAAAATTAAAAAAAAAAAAAAAAGAAAAGTGAAAGTCAAACTGGTGCAAGTTGTCTCACGAAAGAGGTACTGTGGACTTAATCTTCAAATGCGGTCCAACATTAGTTTCCCGTCTTCTTTCACTGTTACCACCTTCATTGCACAGGAGTTATATCATTCTTATGGTTAAGTTTCATAAATAATGAGAAAACTATATGCAACAAATACATCATATTTCCCACCCACCCAGCAACCCTCCCCAAAATAAGAAAAGTTACATCAAATTAAAAAGTAGCTTCGTGAATGAAGGTACTGCTCTAAGTTGCACTTTCCCTGCAAGTGCGGCCAGTGCTTTTGCGCTGGGTATGAAGGAAAGGAAAAATTCTCCACATAAACTGACAAAAAATTTAAAAACCAATGTCCGGTTTCAACCAGTCAAAACCGGGCCAAGCGGAAGCCGAGGTATCTCGGTACCGTCCCATCAGAGGGTCCTTGCAATGCCTGTTCTTCATCCTGATAGGTATCTGTGTCCTTGTGATTGTAAACAATCCATAAGATACTATGTTTTTGTTCCTTAAAATGTCCTCTGATTGGCAAAATGAAGTAAATATTTGTTTTAAAAATAGAAAATGAAAATTAAACCAGAAGAAAAGAAAAGAAACACAGTGAGCTTGTTTGGAGTCCATAGGATCCGATCTGGAAGAGCTCGGAAAATGTGTCATGTGTCGTCTCCTGTTTTCGGCTGGAAAGGTACTAGAGGCTGCGTTGGTCGAAGAAAGACTTGTAGAGTAGGAAAACCAAAGATGTTAAACTAGACCAGAGGCTTCAAGTGTTAGCTTCATCATCTGTGTCTTCTATCAATACCTTAGTGTCACGAGCCTTGGACCTAGGGGGAAAAGCACATAGTCCATTATTAAAATACAAACATGTCACGGCATTAGATACGTTTCCAGTCTCACCACCATTAAAAATACATTGTAGGGGCGACTGAGTGGCTCACTTGGTTAAGTGTCTGACTTCGGCTCAAGTCACGATCTCAGTTTGTGATTTTGAGTCCCGCCTCAGGCTCTGTGATGACAGCTCAGAGCCTGGAGCCTGCTTCAGATGTTAAACTAGACCAGAGGCTTCAAGTGCTCCTCCTGCTTGTGTCTCCTCTCTCTATCCTTCCTCTGTTTGCTCTCTCTCTCTGCTCTTTGCTCAAAAAATAAACATTAAGAAAAATACATTGTAAATGGGCATTATACATTGCACCAGATGGACGATTCCTGGAGTTTCATAGTCAATTTCAGGCATTACTGGAAAACCATTAAGAAAATAGACTGCAATGAGGAAGGTAAAAAGAAAAATGAGAGGTCATATGCAACAGAGAGAGAAATAATCCAAAAGGAGAAGATCTGAGTTCGATCACCCTTAAAAAATAATGAAATCTTGCCATGTGCAACAACATGGATGGCCTAGAGGGTATTATGCTAAGTGAAATAAGTCAGAGAAAGACACATAGCATATGATTTTACTCACATGTGGAATTTATTTATTTATTTATTTATTTTTTTAAATGTTTTATTTACTTCTAGGAGAGAGAGAGCGACAGTGTGAGCAGGGGAGGGTCACAGAGAGAGGGAGTCACAGACTCCGAAACAGGCTCCAGGCTCTGAGCTGGCAGTCAGCACATAGCCCGACGCGGGGCTCGAACCCACGAACCGTGAGATCATGACCTAAGCGAAAGTCGGACGCTTAACCGACTAAGCCACCCAGGCGCCCCTCACATGTGGAATTTAATAAAACAAGTGAACAACATAAAAAAAAAGAAGACAAACAAAAAAACCAGACTCTTACATACAGAGAACAAATTGCTGATTGCCAGAGAGGAGGTGGGTGGGAGGATGGGTGAAACAGACAAAGGGGATTAAGAGTATACTTATTGTGATAAACACCGAGTAATGCATAGAAGTGCTGAATCACTATATTGTACACCTGAAACTAATATAACACTGTATGTTAATTATACTTGAATAAAAAGAAAAGGAAAAGATCTGAGTTTGAATATTGACTTTGTATGATGTACCTTTTGGAGTGTTAATTTTCATCTCTGAAAAGTAGATTTAATAATGCCTATTTATATAATAGTACTTCTACCTCATGGAGATAGTGTCAATATCAAGGGAGAAAATGGATGTAAAAATCATCAGTTAAGTATTAAAAAAAAATTATGATGAGGATGATAGAAATACTGCCATTTGAGGTACACTTGAAACAAGGTGAGTAAGCCAGTGAAAGAGAAGACCTAAGGAGAGGCATGACATTTATCTTCAAAAAGCTGACAAAGTATAATGTAAAGGAGGGAAGAGACTACAGTATGTTAGAAAGCCCAACTAGGATCAACTGGTTGAAGTAACAGTGAAGTATATTTCAGCCGAACATAAGCTATCTACCACAATAACCGTCCAACGATAAAATCAGGTGCCCTATCTATATAAACTTCATTATCATTGATAATTGTCAATCAGCATAAGATGACCATCTAATCAGTATGCATTAGAAGAGATTTTTTTACTAGATGAAAATTAGATGGGATTAGATAATGTTCATAAATCCTATGCGGTACAAGAGACATTTTGTGAAGTGGGTATTATTATTCCCACCGGACAGAGGTAGAAAACTGATGTTCAAAAGGCAGAGTGTGCTAAAGGTTGCATGAGTCACAAAGTCAGTACTTAAATTCAGAACATATTTTAGATTCTCTGCTCTCTCCATTGCACACAATCTGTTTCATTGATTTCTAAAGTTTTATTTATTTTAGGGAAAGTGAGAGAACATGAGAGAGAGGGACACATGGAGAGAGAGAGAGAGAGAGAGAGAGAGAGAGAGAGAATCTTAAGGAAGCTCCAGACAGTGTGGATGGGGCTGGATCTCACAAACCATGAGATTATAACCTGAGCTGAAAACAAGAGTAGGATGCTTAACCAAGTGTGCCACCCACATGCCCCTCTGTTCCATTGTTTTAAACACCTTCTGGTTGCAATCTAGTGTCTCAGTGTTTTTCCACTTAACACCTGAAATTGAACATAATGATGCAGTGCCAAAAAGCATCCTTGTCTCTGAAGCAGAAATAATACATGTTGAGGCTGCCCTCTGCTGGTGACTGCAAGGATAACTCACCCAAATTCTGTGGCTCCGTAAGGCAACCCCCCCCACTCGGCCTCTTCTTTTTGGCTCGTATCCTGCTCACCCTATGTACCAGCCCTCGCGCCCGCTCCCCCAGCTTCTTCAAACTCTACTTCTTAACCATAACAGTGTCATGCTTTGTTCTGATGCTCTTCCCACTGACCTCCCTGGCCATGCCTTTCCCAATCCTTTTATTCTTTCTTCTCTTGTCTTTGTTTCCTCAGACTTAGCTCCCTGTTTTCTGCCTTTCTTTTTTGTACCTTATGTTTTTCAGAGAACTTCCAAATTCTATTTGAAGCCTGAGCAATTTCTACTCCGCTTCCTTCTATCTATGATTTACTATTACCACTTCTTATTTTTTTTAACTTCCTCTGAAACATCTTCTATTATTTTTAGTCCTATTGTAAAGCATCCTAACCCAAGTCTTCAACGTCTGATATGTAAGAATACTGCAGTGGCCTTCCAGTTGGTCTTCTGGTCTTTAGTGTTCCTTTTCCCAACATATTTTGCACAGTGAAACTCATGAAAATACTACTTTCATGTCATTCTTTCATGAGAAACATTCTCCGACCCCTTCCTGCCTATATGATCAAGCTTTTTTCCAGCCTTTTACAATTATACTTCATTTATTTAGCTAAATGTTCTTACTATAGTTCTAGTCACATGGCTTTTCCTTCTGCCCCTCATTTCTACCCTTAGTCTTTATACTGTGTCTCTGACCTAGTCAAGCATTCTCTTATCCTTTTTCTTTTTTTTTTTTAAACTTTAACATTTATCTATTTTTTTGAGACAGATCACTAGCTGGGGAGGGACAGAGAGAGAGGGAGACACAGAATCGGAAACAGGCTCCAGGCTCTGAGCTGGCTGTGAGCACAGAGCCTGATGTGGGGCTCGAACCCACGGACCACAAGATCATGACCTGAGCCGAAGTCGGGCGATTAACCGACTGAGCCACCCAGGTGCCCCAAGAATTCTCTTATCCTTTAGGAAACTGCTCATACTTAATGTCATTCCAATCCGCTGTGAAATCTATAAATTCCAAATGCAACCACAATATATTCTACATTATTGTTCCTTTTAGGATCATACAAAGTTAATGACATAAAAATACTGCTGTGGGTATTTAGCAAGAAAATAAACATAACAGCTTATATTTATATAAGAACTCTTTCTGTGAGGAAACTGGTCTAAATCCCATCATAACCAGTCTATAAGCAGGGACCATATTAATTCCAATTTTCAGATGAAGGATAATGTAGAGGAATTAAAATGGTCAAATACCACTAAATTTATGTGGTTCAACCTGATACCATCTTAGCTTAAATGTTAACCAGTGCTAAAACCTGAAGGAAATTTATCTCAGGAAAGCAGAAGCAATACGTACTGAGAAGCGAGACGAGGCCGGCGCAGGGATATGCTCTGGCTGTACTTCCATGGACGGTTTTTCTGGCGGTTTCGTACCCCATCATCCTGGTCCATCATCTGTTCTAGAAGTGTCTGGTCATCTGCATTCAGAGGAGCCACAGAAATGTCCCGCACGGCACGGAATTCACCACAGTTATTCAGATGTTCATTCTCCAGGCGGAAGAAATTCCACACAAATCGCCTTAGCAAAATAGGGTAGGTAGGTAAATTATTTATAAAATTTGAACATACTGTTGTAAACTGTAAACCTCCCAGTGTATGTATCAAGTTTCCATTCATGAAACAAAAACAAGGAATTAAAGGTTAGAATATTAAAACAGGAAAGAATGGTGTGGTGGGGGGCGAGGAGAGAGTAAGAATGGCATAGACAAAAAGGAAAATTCCGAGGGGAAAATATAGCAGCCAGATGGCTATGTGTCTGCAGTTCAAGGGAGAGTCTAGGTTGGAGACTGCATAAAGACAGTTATTTCAAGTTATTGGATTAGCAATAATGTAAGTGGAGGAAAGAAGAGGGCAGAGGATTAAACCCTGGAGCACTCTAACATTTATAATTTGGGAAGAGGAAGAAGAACCGGTAAAGGAGTTGAGAGGGAATAGCTAGTGAGATACAGGAGTTTGGCTTCTGAGAAATGACGTGTAAAAACTAAAGTAAGGTCAGTGCAAAGAACTGACATGGGATTTAGCAAAAGAGAGAGGCAGTATGATACAAGAGCATAGATTCTGAAAGACTGTCTAGATTCAAATTATGACTCCATCATTTCCTAGGTGTAAGGACCTTGGATGAGTTACTTAACTTATGCTTCAGTGTTATCAGTAAAGTGGGACAGTAAGAGTATCTACCTCATAAGATTGTTGTGAGGATTCAATAAGTTGATACATGTAAAGGGCTCGGAGCAGTGCCAGGCACAGAGTGGGCAATACACGTTTGCTGCTATTGTTGTTATTATCACTGTTATTATTGTAGATTATTAACATAAGCAATTTAGTATTGAGTATTAGCTGAGTATTTGAGTAATTCAACTTGTGTTGAATTAAAGGGAGAATGGGGGAGGAGTGAGAAAGTAGAGACAGCAAGTACAGATATCTCTGGAAGAGTTTTGCTGTAAAGGAGACAGAAATGGGCATGAGTTGGAGGAAAGCAGGTTCAAAGGAGACTTCCTGCTTTTGTTTTAAATGGTTGATAAACATTTGATTCTATTATTAAGCAGATGACTTTAAAGGAAAAATGAAATAAGAACTTAAAAAAGGAGTTTTTTTTTTAACTAGAAAAAAATTTTTTTTCCAATTTATAAAGCAGCATCATATGTGGAAGAGAAAGAAGTGGGACAGGAGTAGGTCTTGTAGTGATGGAGAGTCCCAGGTCCTAGACCTAGAGATATACGAAAGTGAAGGAGAAGGGTGACACATGGTTTGGAGAGAGTACTGACAGCAGCAAGCACAGTTCCCAGATGCTATCTTATTTTATCAGACCAGTCTGATAGATGTGCCTATCCTGACTCAGAGGAATGCTATACACATGTCTGAAAATATCATTCATTTTCATTTGTGAAAGGTATTTTCAATGGATAAAGAGTTTTAGGTAGGCAATTGTTTTCTTTCAGCACATTGAAAATATCATTTTATACTTTTTTCTTTAAGTAGGGTCCATGCCTAGCATGGAGTCCAATGCGGGGCTTTTACTCATGACCCTGGGATCAAGACCTGAGCTGAGCTCAAGAGTCAGATGCTTAACTGATTGAACCACCCAGGTGCCCCTGAAAATATCATTTTAATAACTTCTGATTTTCACTATTACTTTTGAGAAGTTGGCTGTCAAACTGCCACTTCTTTGATGACAATCCTTTCTTTTGGGCTGCTTTAAAAAAAAAGTAAACATTGTAATTAAAGTATACTATAGACATATAAAAGTGTGCAAATTGTTAAGTGTGCAACTTGGTTATTATGAAGTGGTCACACTGTATAATTACCACTCAGAAATAAAAAAAAATATAACATTATCACACACCTAAAGCTGCCTTTATGGCACCCTCCTATATTCTAGGGAGTTTGCTGATTTACCTTTCTTATTGATTTATCTTTCTTATTTATTTATTTATTCATTCATTCATTTTTAATGTTTACTTATTTTTGAGAGACAGTAGGGGGCACAGAGGGAAACAGAGGATGCAAAGTGGGCTCTGTGCTGACAGCAGAGAGCCCAATGGTGGGACTTGAACTCACAAACTGTGAGATGATGACCCGAGCCAAAGTCGGATGCTTAACTGACTGAGCCACCCAGGTGCCCCATACCTTTCATATTTAGTTCGGCAATCTACCTAGAATAGATTTTGTATACAGTATGCAGTGAGAGTCAAGATTCATTTTTTCTCCATATGGATAGCCAGCTCAGATGACTCAATATTATTTACTAAAGAACCTATTTTCCTCCACTATTTAGCCACTTTTGTCATAAATCAGGTAGTGTTGATGTATGCGGGGATCTGTTTCTGGACTCCCCATTCTGTTCCAATGGACTATTTGTTTATCCTTTCACTAACACTAGACACTGTTTTAATTATCGTAGCTACATAGGAAGTCTTGATATTTGAGAGTGTAAATCCTATAATTTCTTTCTTTTCAACATAGTCTTGGCTATTCTTTTTTTTTCTTTTTTAAATGTTTATTCATTTTTGAGGGACAGAGAGACAAAACATGAGCAGGGGAGGGGCAGAGAGAGAGAATTCTGAAGCAGGTTCCAGGCTCTGAGGTACTTGCACAGAGCCTGATGCGGGGCTCAAACTCCTGAACCATGAGATCATGACCTGAGCCGAAGTTGGATGCTCAACCAACTGAGTCACCCAGGCGCCCCTGCTCTTGTCTATTCTTGATCCTTAATGTTTCCATGTAAATTATAGAACTGTCTTGTCAATTTTCATATACATAATCATTCATTAAATTTATTCCTAAGTATTTGATATATTCTGATGCTATTCAAAGGGGTACTTTTGTTAAAATCTGACTTTCTAGTTTTTTGGGGGGGACTGTTTTTTAGAACATTACATTTTTATTCATACTGACCTTATATTCAGGGACACAGTTATATTTATTCTAAAGCTTATTTGTAAATTCTTTTGAATTTTCTGCATATGCAAGATGTCATGGGTGAGTAATTAGTTTTATTTTTTCCTTTCCAATTCTTTTACTGTCTCCCCACTGTATTACCTATACTTTCAGTATGATGTTAAAAACAAGTAACAACAGGCATAATAATCTCATTCCTGATCTCAAGGGAGAGCTTACAATGTTTTACCATTAAATATGACCTTATTTATGCTTTTTGTAGATAATCTTTAAATTATTTATGAACAAGCATTGGCTTTTCTCAATACTGTTTTCTACATATTTGAAGGTTTTTCTCCCTTTATTCTGTTAATGTGGTGAGTTAATACAGATTAATTTTTAAATGTTAAGTGATTTTTAAATATTAAATCTCACATTCCTAGAATGAAACTAACTTGGCTGTGATGTACTATGCTTTTTTATATATTCCTGGATTTGCTAGCTACTAAAACTTCAGGAGTTTTGCATTTCTGTACATGAGACAGACTGGTTGGTCTTCCTTGGAATGTCCTCATAGGTTTAGCTACCAAAGCCATGATGGTTGCACAAAATGACCTGGGAAGTGTTCCTTTTATTGCCTCTTTTCTCTGGAAGAGTTTTATATAAAGCTGGTAACATTTCTTCTTCATATTTTTGAAGGAATTCCTTGGGCTTACCATTTTCCTCGTGAAAAGGACTTTAATATGAATATAATTTCTTTAATAGATATAAGCCTATCAGATTTTCTATTTTTTATTGGCTTTGATAAACAGTGCTTTTCAAGGAATTTGTCCACTCCATGTCAATTTTTAAGGTTTATTTATTTATTATTTCTGAGAGAGACAGAGTGCAAGTTGGGGAGGGGCAGAGAGAGACAGAAGAAGACATAGAATCTGCAGCAGGCTCCACACTCTTAAGCTGTCAGCACAGAGCCTGACATGGGACTCAAATTCACAAACTGCGAGATCCTGACTTGAGCTGTGCGAGATCATGACTTGAGCTGTGCGAGATCATGACTTGAGCTGAAGTCGGACGCCTAATCAACTGAGCCAGCCAGGTACCCCTCCATGTAAACACTTTTTTAACTTATTGGCATAAAGTTGCTCATAATATCATTTTACTCTTTTAAAAATATATTTTGAGGATTTTTGATATTTATAATTTGTGCATTATTTTCCTTTTTTGCTTAATCAGTTATGTTTAGAGGTGCCTGGGTAGCTCAGTTGGCTGAGCATCCAACTCTTGGTTTTGGCTCAGGTCATTATCTCAGTTTGTGGGATCAAGCCCCCCTTTGGGCTCTGTGCTGTCACCGCAGACCCTGCCTGGAATTCTCTCTCTCTCTCTCTCTCTGCCCCTACCCTGCTGGCACTCTCTCTCTCAAAATAAAAAATAAACATAAAAAAAATCAGTCATATTTAGACATTTAATCAATTTTACTCATCTTTTTAAAGAACTAACTTTGGCTTGTTTAATTTCCTCTACTTTATGTTTCCTATTCCATTCATTTCTGTTCTTTATATTTCCTTCCTTCTACTTTAGTTTGGGTTTGATTTGCTGTTTTAAAATTTTCTTGAAGCTGTATATTTCCCTAGTGTATATGTTTAAAGCTATATATTGCCTTCTTAAGCATGGCTTTAGCTACATTTTCTTCTGCCACATTATCAGTTTCATGTGTTCAAATATTTTAAAATTTCCATTATAATTTCAACTTTGACCCATGGGTTATTTAGACATGTATTGCTTAATTTCTAAACATTTGGGAATTTTCAGTTATCTTTTTGTGATTTCAATCCTCTGAAATTTGTTGAGACTTACTTTATGGCCCAGCATGTGGTTAATTTTGATAAATGTTCTACATGCAAATAAAAGAATGTGTATTTAGTAGTTGAATGCAGTGCTCCCTATAGGTCAATTAAGTCAAGTTGGCTAAATGGACTACTTATTACTGAGAAAAGTAGGTTAGAATCTTCCTCTAAAATTGTAAATTCACCTACTTCTACTTTTTAGCAATGTCAACTTTTGTTTTACATATTTTTAAGCATGTTATTTTATGCATGTTATTATGTGCATATAAATTTGAACTTGTTATCACAACTGAATCTCAAAATTGCTAGGTTTGACAAATTTCTTTAGTGCAAAATTAGCTTTAGTGCTTTGCTTACCTTTAGGATACCTACTTTTACTTAGATTTTGGACTATCTTGTTAGATCACTGATGTTTTCAGGAAGATTTAAAAAACAATTCCTCTGGAATTTTTATTGTTTCCAGTGAGAAGGCTGCCTCCTCAACCCAGAATGCCAAACTGCAAATAATGATTCTCAAAAGATATTTAATTTCTGTTCTAAAAGTTTTTAAGAGGGGGTAAGAGGAAGAGCATGCACGGAAGCAGGGGAGAAAGACAGAGGGTGAGAGAGAGAGAATTTTAAGCAAGCTCCATACTCAGTGTGGAGCCAGATATGGGGTTTAATCCCACGACCCTGGGATAATGACGTGAACCAAAATCCGGAGTTGGGTGCTCAGCTGAGCCACCCAGGGGCCCCTGTTTTACCTCCCAATTTCCACTCATGACCCTTCCAATGGAGCCCAATTCTAAAAAAACTTAAAAGCCATCATTAGTAGTCATTTTAACTTCCCAAGAATTAATCTTTTAGATTTTCAAGTAGGATTTTCCAACTCTGAGGCTAATGAGAAGTTTGAGAAAAGCTGGAAAATTTAAACCTTTCAAGTGTAAGTTTTAATAAATTCTAATTTGTAAGTACTAAGTGTCTTTTAGGGGAAAAAACTTTGATAGATTTTTTGGTAGTCTGCTTACCGGAAAACTTCGAGGGGAGCACACACAGTAGCAATGATGTCCCCAGAATGAGGCAACAATGTCATGGAGGTGATTGAGATTTGGATAGTCCAAGCAAAGCGCAGGATCACATCCTCTATGATGGCACAGTAGTAATAGGCCTGAGGAATAATAAACAAGCTGAGTACACTTACCATTATGTTTCTCACAAATAAGCACACCTGTCAGCACCAAGACTCACATATGTCTCACCAACAAGCATGGATTAAAGAGGAAAAACAATTTTATTTTTACTTTATTATTTATTTTAGAAGACCTCTCCAATTTAGTTTTTCTAATAGTGCAATATTCAAAGTGAAGTTTTACTGAATTTCATTAATCACTTAAATATATTTTTTCTCATATTGTATGCCAAGCTCTCTTCTAGACCCCAGAAATATAAGCCAGATGAGATCCTTGATCTGAGATTATAAAGTGTACATCATATGCTGAAAAAGATTAGCAAGATTCATTAACTGTTAATTTGTACTTTTATTCTCAAATTGCTTTACTCTACATTTGAAGGAAGTTTTGCCTTGCTTTTTGATGTCATTAAATAAAATGAAGCTTGGATATCATAAACATGGCTGAATTTAAGGAATGTTCTATTTTTATATGAGAAAGACAGCATGCAATAATTTTTTTCAAGTGCTATTACCTAGTATTTAGGTGTCCAATTTTAGCTACACAAAACTTTTAAATACACAAACTGCCAATATACCAGAACTATTGTTGATGGATTTGTTCATTCGTAATCTATGGATAATCAGCTCTTTAAATATATGTATTTAAAGGTTGGAAACTAGAACTGCTTTGTATTACACCATAGCATTTATTTTTTAAAAAAATTAATGCAGGAGTACTAGTTATCTTTGAAGTCTATTAACAAAAAAAAAAGAAAAAAAAAAGAGCAGTCCCCTTGCTACCTTCTCTTCCCATTCTTTAGAGACAATTTCAAAATTTGTAGCTCTCTCTCTCTGAGGATTTATCCTCCATATTTCTAAATAATGTGTGTACATTGCTATATCCTGATTAATTAACTGTAGATGTTATCCACTGCTTATTATCATAAATATTATGAAGATTTTAACATATTTACATTCTTCTGTTCCCTTCTCCATCCATCCGATGTAGCAATAATGCATTTTTTTTTCTTGATAAATCCTCATCTACTGAGCTCATTATTAGGCTTCAATAAAGAACTACAATTTCATGTTACTTTAAGAGTCAGTCTTAAAGTGATCTACAGCTATGTGGGAGCTGATGTTACCAAAAATGTGAAAATCTTTTGGGAGGAATAACTTAACATGAGGTCACAGACAGAGAAAAGTAAAGATTTAACATCACAAATGTTGTGACCATAGCATAACATACAGAGTTGTTGAATTACTATGTCGTACACATGAAACTAAAGTAACACCGTGTGTCAATTATAACTTCAAATAAAAGTAAATAAATAAAAATGAAAAAGGAGGAATAGGAGTTTGCAAGGCAGACAAAAGGGAGAGAAGAGGGCATCTGAGGTAGAGGGAATTGCATGTCAAAATTAGGTCATAAATTTTGGTAAGTTTTTATTCCTCCGTTCTAGACTTTATCACATTGTACTGTAATTTGTTTACTTACCTGTTTAACATAGTTTATGGCCTCTTTGAGTACTAGAATTTTACTTTGTTTTTATTTTCTATAGTGCCCAGCAGTTGGTAAAAGCCTGACATTTTTGCTGACAGAATGCATTTGTATTTTTTGGTAAGTAGTTGTTTTTTCTAAATATATTAGTTTGGGATTAGGTATGTATCATAATAGGATTTAGCTGGTGATACACTTGAGTTTTTGGGGTTTCTTTAAGCAAATACAAACACTTTTGTACATACTTTTTGGGGGTATACAATCTCTTCCCGGAGAAAGGTGTTTTCTCCAGCATTCTTATCAAAGAGACCCCAGTCCATCTTCAGATCCCAGATGAGGGTATAGCAGGAACTGATGACACAAAACACAATCCAAAGATAAAAGAATACCATGGTGTCTGAGTGACCTCGTTCTAAAGAAAAGGGAAAAGTAAAAGAGAAAATTATTAGATTGAAATAGAATTCTTCATTAAATAAAAGTAATTTAAAAAGCGGATTCTTTATGTAGCTCCATAAAAGAAGTAAGATTTTATATAAGCATCCCTGGTTAGGGACACTAATAGAAGTTAAATAGTATATCTGATTCTCCTGAAGTACAAAGTAATCATCAAGCCCTTATCAAATACATAAAATTTGTACAAACGTACATTTTTGGAGGCTATATGCTGATTACATAAAAATCCAAATAACTGCAATGGAGGTTTTGAATATTACAAAAGATGTCATTTTAATTTTTGCCATCAGGTGGCAGATTAGGGTCAAAGATGAAAAAAAATTATAAAACCCCACCAATAAGAAATGTGTTACATGTGTTTCAACAAATTCTGAGAGTGTTTTTATTTTAGAACATTTCCTTGGTACACTTAGATCTTGACAATACTTACTGTGAAGGCAACCAGGTCATTTTAATTCTAGATAAAATGCTAGAAAGCAACAGACTGATGAGGAATTTATCGTTAAGGACATAAATGAAAGCAATTTTCTCTCATTCACAAAGCATGGTATTTTTGCTTCTTTAGAGGTTGTTTATAGATACAAATGCTAAGAACACTATAAAGTACACCAAATCAGAATAACAAAAATAATTTGTATATGTACTTATATAATTCAGTATTTTTCACTCTTAAGTACCTCATATATCCTCTAAGGAAATTCTTTGGTAAGTTTTGAGAGTCATCATGTTATTTGTGCTCTCGAGGTGCAGGATATATATAGGTATATAATTTATAATAAAGTCCTGAATTATCAGGAAAAAGAGCTATGAAACATCTAATTCAAAGAAGTTAAAATTTTGGTTAGTTTCCCAAAGGCAGAGAAAATAAGGATGTATCACGCCTTAACCACAATCCTTCCTATTAAAATAAATTAAGGGGTGCCTGGCTGGCTCACTTGGAAGAGTACTGACTCTTGATCTCAGGGTTGTGAGTTCAATCACGACTCATACTGGGTATAGAGATTACTAAATAAAAAAAAAAAAAGAAAAAAATTAAAATTCTTCCTATTGAAACAAGTTTTTATTAATCATTTTTAGGTATTAAAGTATTAACTAAATACAGTATGATTCAAAGGCACCCTTTAGAAATTTATATTACAGTGAGTGAAAATAGCCCTTTGTTATTGATAAATATGAGCTCAAAATGAAGAATAAACAAAGCACTAGGAAAACATCAAGGGGAATGGGAATGTTTCCAACAGTAGGAAATAAGAGGAAGTAGCATTTGAGTTATTTGTAGAAGGATAAATAAACAGTGTTACAAAAGTCAGGCAGATGAGGCAAGGACATTCAAAGCTGAAGGGAGACAATGAACAGTCATGAGGGTGGGAAAGTACAAGGAGTTTCTGAGGGACTGCAAGTAATCTAAATCCAGTGTGGGTGACATATGGAGGATGTAAGACAAGGGGTCTGATTTAAAATGAGGCTGGAGGGGCACCTGGGTGGCTCAGTTGGTTAAGCATCTGACTCCTGATTTCCTCTCAGTTCATGATCTCACTGTTTGTGAGATTGAGCCCCAATTTGGGCTCAGCGCTGACAGCACAGACCCTGCTTGGGTTTCTCTCTCTCTTTCAAAATAAGTAAATAAGTAATTTAAAAAAGAGACTTAAAAATAAATAAAATGAGGCTGGAAAAGACATTTGGGGTCTGACTGTGCAATGCTTTCTTGGAAAGCATCTGATTTCTTAAAATCAGATCTGTATTTTAAAAAAATAACTAAGCTGGCAGGTTGCTTGCATCAGAATTACTTGGCTGATTTTAAAAATACAGATATGTTAGAGTTGCTGTGTTAATCAGTTCATACCAGCTTATAAGAAGTGACTATTGTATTTTCAAAACAGCTGATTGGGGCGCCTGAGTGGCTCAGTCGGTTAAACGTCCGGCTTCAGCTCAGGTCATGATCTCATAGTTTGTGGGTTCGAGCCCCGTGTCGGGTTCTGTGCTGACAGCTCAGAGCCTAGAGTCTGTTTTGGATTCTGTGTCTCCCTCTCTCTCTGCCTCTCCGAGACCATGACCTGAGCCAAAGTCAGACACTTAGCCAACTGAGCCATCCAAGTGCCCCAAATTTAAACTATTTCCACAAAAACTCTTCTTCACCGAAAGTAAATTGTGTTGGATATTTATACTACAACATTGTGCCACATAAATTATTAATTTAAAAAGCCCAACAAAATATTTACTTATTATCTAGTTTAGGTGGATGTGTTCTGACATGTTTATTTCATTCTATAGATAGATAAAGTCTAGCTAAGTAGTATTATTCAATAATCAACATGATTGCATTAAAAAATTTTATATCTACTAAGGTTTGCAATGAATAAAGCAAATTTAGCACCTTAATAAAATTCATACTGTTCTTGTATTTTCAAAACAAGATCAACACAAAGAGAAAAACACAAGCAACTTAACTGTAAATTATATTTGCAACTCTTTTTTTAAAAAGTGAATGGTTGGGGCGCCTAGGTGGCTCAATTGTTTAAGCGTCTGACTTTGGCTCAGGTCATGGTCTTGCAGTTCCTGGGTTTGAGCCCCACGTCAGGCTCTATGCTGACAGCTCAGAGCCTGGAGCCCACACTGGACTGTGTGTGTCTCCTCCCTCTGTCCCTTGCCACTCATGCCCTGTCTCCATCTCTCTCTCAAAAAGATGAATAAACATTAAAAAAAATTTTTTTAATTAAAAACTGAATGCTTATAATGTGCCAGGCACTTTATGTATATTATTTCATTTCATTTTCACAATAAGCCATCATTCTGTTTGCTAGTAAAAGTAATGAAATGAAAATAAAGTAATAGATATTCCTCAAGAAGTAAAAAATTAGTACTGAGAAATACTAAGTATAGGTAACACTAATATATAAGTATATAAGTATATATAAGTATAGGTAATACTAATTGAGAAATACTAAGTATAGGTAAAATCAAGTGTTTTACTAAAAGCTGATTTTCTTTTCTATTTACTAAAGAAATCATCAACTTCAAATTATTATATAAAAGAAGATTGTGGGGGGGGAGTTCAAAAGAAAGGAATTGATAATGAAACAGAAACCAATGTGCTAGTTTCTTTAATGTCTTTTAGATTTTAAATACAAGTCTTATGCTTAGAGTGTAATTCTTAAAATGGTATAATGGGTCAAGTGCCTTTTTCCTTTCTAAGCTCATATTATTTCAATGAAATTTCTTATATGTGAAACACATATAAGGCGTTTTAAAAAGGCAAGTATTCCAACAGATTATTTTGGCATGAGAAATGTTTCACCTTACTTCTTCAAATAATGATTACCATATATGTAGTCTACATGTATTACATTTTGGTCTCTTTTTAATTATTATCCTTATTTGATCTTTCCCATCTCCCAAATGAGGAATGCTTTTCCCTGAAATCATCTGCCTTTATTGGTATTCTGGGGATGTACTAGAAAGATATTATCACTTTAGGCAAGCAATTACATCTAATTCTCTCTTGGCTAACTCTAGTAGCCCACTTTAGTGATGTTCAAAATCATAGAAAATCAAGTCATTGCTATTCTACCCTAAGCTTCTATTATACACCCGCCATGTCAGAAGCATAATTCATACTGGAAATATTTATGGTGATGAATCTAAACAAATCTAAAACAAATAAAAATAAGTTTCTTAGAGTTTTGTATCCATTATTATCATAAAAGGGATAAAGCAAAATAATATGTTAGGAAAAGTACTGAGAGAAACCAGTAAAATTATATATGAAAATCAGCCTGAACCATGTTTCAGGAAAGATATATGGTTTTATTGTATTTTTTTCAGGGATGATATTTTAGAAATGAAGAGTGGCAATATATTAAGAGAAAGCAAATGGTCTACTTTTCAACCAAAATGTTTCTACTCTGATAACAGTTTACTAGTTTTTAAGCTGAAATTAAATTAAAAAACCCAAAATAGACTGGACACCATTTTCAAAGCCCAAACCAACATAGGCAAGCTGAGTTATGAATGAGTTTGGCATCTAGCAAATCCTAGTTTTAGTCCCATAACTTAAAACATCAAAACACTAAATTATAAGATTAATATGGGTCTCTAAAAATTAATGGTTACAGATACTTCCTTGATCTTTAGTGCATATGTATTTCTTTTTTAATTTAAGAGAAAGAGTGAATGTGTGAGCAGGGGAGAAGGGGAGGTGAGGGAGAGGGAAGGGAGGGAGAGAGAAAAAGGGGGAGGGGGAGACAGAGAGGGAGAGAGAAAGAGAGAGAGAGAACGAATCTTAAGCAGGTTCCATTCTCAGCTCAGAGCCCGACATGGGTCTCAATCCCATGACCCTGGAATTATGACTTGAGCCAAAATCAAGAGCTGGATGCTTAACTGACTGAGCCACCCAGGTGCCCCTCTTTAATATGTTTTAGTTAAATTGTGAGGTCACATGTATTATCCCTTCTTAGGTGATTATCATATTTATCCCCAGAGCAGGCAAGAAAGACATATAATTCCTATTTTATAGTTAAGAAAGCTTAAGTTTCAAGAGATAGTAAGTGGAAAGATAACTGGATTTGGAGTTACAAGATCTGGGTCTGAATCCAGACTCTGCCTCTTTCCAACTTTGTGATTATAGAGAATCCATAATCTTAAAATGATTGAGACAAAAATGGAAATCATTAGGGGTTCCTGGGTAGTTCAGTTGGTTAAGCATCCAACTTCAGCTCAGGTCGTGATCTCACAGCTTGTGAGTTCAAGCCCTGTGTTGGGCTCTGTGCTGACAGCTCAGAGCCTGGAGCCTGCTTCAGATTCTGTGTCTCCATCTCTCTCTGCCCCTCTCCCACTCGTGCTCTGTCTCTCTCAAAAATAAATACACATTAAAAAATTAGGAAAAAAGGAAATTATTAGGTCTACAGATAAATGAGGAAACTAGAAATAGGAATCTTTATCCAAGGAACTTTTTTGTTCCAG